AAAAAACCCGCTCGCCTCGCGTCGCTCTAACCCCCCCCGTGACGTCACCGCGCGCGGCGACACCACCCCGGCGCGATGACGTCACCCCCCCGCGCCGCCGCCGTTGCCATGGCGACCCCGCCCCCCGCGCTTCCGGCCCCGCGCCCGCCATGGCGGCGGCGGCGGCGGCGGCGGCGGCGGCGGCGCGGGAGCGGCGGCGGGAGCAGCTGCGGCGCTGGGAGGAGGCGGCGGCGGCGGCGCCGGGCCCGGGCCGCGCTCGGCCGGGGCCGGCCCGGGTCCGCTTCGAGCGGCAGGCCGAGTTCCGCGCCGCCTGCGCAGGCGCCGAGCTGGCCGAGGCGCGCGCCATGGTGATGGCGCCCGAGGGCGGCGGGCGCGCGCTGCTGGGCGGGGCCAACGCCGACGGCGTCAGCGCGCTGCACCAGGTGGGCGGGGCCTGGGGGAAGGGGCGGGGCCAATGGGAATGCGCGGGCCTGGGGAAAGGGGGCGGGGCCAACGCCGACGGCGTCAGCGCGCTGCACCAGGTGGGCGGGGCTAAGGGAAAGGGGCGGGGCCAATGGGAATGCGCGGCACCGGGTGGGCGGGGCCAAGGGAAAGGGGGCGGGGCCAATGGAAATGCGCGGCACCGGGTGGGCGGGGCCTATGGGGGAGTGGGAGGGGCTTCAGGTGGGGTGGGCGGGGTTTGGGGGTCCCTGGGGGTGTCCCCAGTGTCCTCATGGATGTCCTGAAGGCCCCGGGGGTGTCCCCGAATGTCCCCGGGGGTGTCCCCAATATTTCCACGATGGCCCCACGGTGTCCCCAGTGTCCTCAGGGTTGTCCCCAATATCCCCACAGTGTCCCCAGTGTCCCTGGGGGTGTCCCCAATATTCCCACAATGTCCCCATGATGTCCCCACGGTGTCCCTGATGTACCCGATGTCCCCACAATGTCCCCACGGTGTCCCCAATGTCCCTGGGGGTGTCCCCAATGTCCCCACAGTGTCCCCACCGTGTCCCCGATGTCCCCAGCCCTGTCCCCACGATGTCCCCAATGTCCCTGGGGGTGTCCCCAATATCCCCACAGTGTCCCCACCGTGTCCCCGATGTCCCCAGCCCCGTCCTCAATGAGCCCAGGGCTGTCCCCAATGTCCCCGTGGATGTGCTGATGTCCCCACGGTGTCCCTGGGGGTGTCCCCAATGTCCCCACGGTGTCCCCACGGTGTCCCCACAGTGTCCCCAATGTCCTCAGGGGTGTCCCCAATGTCCCTGTGGATGTGCTGATGTCCCCAGGGGTGTCCTTGGGGGTGTCCCTGATGTCCCCACGATGTCCCCGCTGTCCCCAGGCCTGCATCGACGAGAACATGGAGGTCGTGCAGTTTCTGGTGGGGTTTGGGGGTGCCCCTGGGGGTGTCCCCGATGTCCCCACGGTGTCCCCACGGTGTCCCTGATGTCCCCACAGTGTCCCCAATGTCCCCGCTGTCCCCAGGCCTGCATCGACGAGAACATGGAGGTCGTGCAGTTTCTGGTGGGGTTTGGGGGTGTCCCTGGAGGTGTCCCCGATGTCCCCACGGTGTCCCCACGGTGTCCCCACGGTGTCCCCGATGTCCCGCTGTCCCCAGGCCTGCATCGATGAGAACATGGAGGTCGTGCAGTTTCTGGTGGAGAGCGGCGCCGACGTCAACCAGGCCGACAACGAGGGCTGGACCCCCCTGCACGTGGCCGCGGCCTGCGGGTGCCGCCACATCGCCCAGTGAGTGCCCGAAATATCCCCAAAACATCCCCGAAATATCCCTGAAATATCCCCAAAATATCTCCAAAGTATCCCTGAAATATCCCCAAAATATCTCCAAAGTATCCCTGAAATACCCTTAAAATATCTCCAAAGTATCCCTGAAATATCCTTAAAATATCTCCAAAATATCCCTGAAATATCCCCATAAACATCCCCAAAATATCCCCAAAATATCCTTAAAATAACCCCAAAATATCCTTAAAATAACCCCAAAATATCCCCAAAATATCCCCGAAATATCCCCAAAGTATCCCCAAAATATCCCCAAAATATCCCCAAAATATCCCAGACTCACCTGTGACCCCCATGTAACTCACCGGTGATCTATAACCCATCTGTAACCTACTTGTGATCAATAACCCATCTATAACCCATCTATAACTCACCAATAACTTACCTGTGATCAATCACCCATCAATAACCGATCGATAACTGATCAATAACCCTTGCCAGGTACCTGCTGGAGCACGGGGCCGCCGCCACCTTCACCTGTGGCCAATCTATAACTCACCTGTGATCAATAACCCATCTATAACCCATCAATCACCCATCAATAACCGATCAATAACCGATCAATAACCGATCGATAACCGATCGATAACCGATCAATAACCCCCCCAGGTACCTCCTGGAGCACGGGGCCGATGCCGCCGCCCTCACCTGTGCCCAATCTCTAACCCAGCTGTGATCAATAACCCATCAATCAATCACCCATCAATAACCGATCAATAACCGATCAATAACCGATCAATAACCGATCGATAACCGATCAATAACGGATCAATAACCCCCCCAGGTACCTGCTGGAGCATGGGGCCGATGCCGCCGCCCTCACCTGTGCCCAATCTCTAACCCACCTGTGATCAATCACCCATCAATCAATCACCTGTCAATAACCGATCGATAACCGATCAATAACCGATCGATAACGGATCAATAACCCTCCCAGGTACCTGCTGGAGCACGGGGCCGATGCCGCCGCCCTCACCTGTGACCAGTCTCTAACCCACCTGTGATCAATCACCCATCAATCAATCACCCGTCAATAACCGATCAATAACCGATC